TAGCTCTGAAGACTCTCCCAGTGATTCACTCACTATTTTTGTCTTCTTTGATACAGAAGTGGTTGGGGGGGATGGGGGAGAGTGTTAATGAGGGGCCCAAGTCTAAAGGTCCGGCAACAACAACTAGAGCCCCAAGCCCTTACAGCCCCAGGATTTAGCATAGTGCAAAGCACACAGTAGGTGCTTAATAAATGCAAACTCACTGACTCTGCCTCCCTGACCAAGGCTGGGGCCAGGGCTTCCCCTCCCTCCTAGGCCCGGCTGAACACAGTCCGGGAGCCCTCCCTCCTCTCGCGGGGCTCATCGGCCTACTTCTCCCCTCCTCGGAGCCTCCTCACCTCAGAGGCCTGGATCCGCCTCGCCCCCTCGGATTACGGGAAGCTCCTGGCCCACTCACAGCTGTCCGCGGGAGACCGGTCCACGGCCCTCAGAAAGTTCTGCCCCAAGGTAGCCTGACACCACCTCCTGGAAGGAGCTCTTGCCTTCTTACCCGCTTCCCGCCCCCGGGGGGCGCCTGCCCGAGACCGGTGCAAGGACCTCTCGGGGCCGGCTCAGCTGCTGCACCTCTGGGGAGCCTCTAACATGGCGGATGGAGACCAGACTCGGGTCATCCAAGCCCACGGAGGGACGATTGGTTCGGGCCCCTGTCCCTCTGAACAGACATGCCTCTGATTGGTTTAGGATGAGACAAGGGCGGGGCGGCCAGCGCAGAAGCATAACAATAACAAACATGGGGAAAGAAGGCGGAGCGGAAGCGGGCCAGAGAGGCTTTCCTCCCATAGCTATAGATGCCCTGGACAGTTGGCCTCGGCCAGCTACACGCCACCTCGGACATGATGGGACCTGTAGTCTACCCCTCACTCCCCTGACCAGTACTCTCCCAATACAGATTCCCCAGAAACGCTATGGATTTGTATCGGATGTGTACCGCGAACACTTTTCTACCTGTTTTCTACCGTCACCAAGTCCCACGAAAGTCCGATCCTGCCTCTTCTGGAGACTACGATTTCCATGATGCACTGCGCCTCATTTCTCCTCCCTCCTATCCCCGGCCCCTCATACCCGCCCCACCCCAACTATACACGTAAGCGACCCGTTCCACTTCTCTCCTCCAACGCGGCCTTGTCGCAATGCACTCTGGGTATTGTAGTCTCAGTCATTTGCTTTACCTGGCGAGAGTCCCATCGCGGCGGAAGGGGTTGGAGGACTCGAGACTTCTCTTGCTGCTCTGTTAAGGACAGTGTGGCTGCTGGTGGTGATTCCGACTCTCGGAGAGCAATTACTGTGACGCAATAACACCGTGATTGAGAGAGTAGAAAAGAAGGGGGCGGAGCCTAACACTGTCGACATAATACGTAACCTCTTCCTTTTCCGGATCTATCTATTTCCGTCTTACGGGGAAAGTAAGGAGGACCAATCACAGGACCCAGGAGGAGCCGAACCCATTCTTCCCTCCCTGTTTACGTGATCGAGCGAGCGTTGCGTTTGGCTTCGAGGCAGTCCCGCGGAGTTCCGTTACCATGACAACAGAAAAGCGCGGGAAATCACTATAAATTGAAACTGAGGTAGCGCGCCAGGACACACAGAAGACCCTGTAAGAAAGAAGGTTTTCGCCAGGCCAGGTAACTTGATGTGTTACCTGGGCGGGGAGGAGGAGGGCTCATGAAGGGAAGAGGACTAAAGTGAGGTTAGAGGGAAGCCCGGGGAAGAGGGGGAGAGGTTCTGTTCAATTTTGGAAGCATTTATTAGGCGCCCACTAGATGCAAGTTGTATTGAATTTAATCTAGGAGCTTATATTTTATTGGGAGGAAACAACATGAATGCAGATAAGTAAATACAATATAGAGTATGATTTCGGGTTTTGTAGAGAGCTATACCAAGCAAGGGGAACAAGCTAGGCCTCCAGTAATAGTCTAGGAATTGAAAGAGGTGGAAATGAAGGAGGGCGTTGCAAGCAATCAGGCATGGAGAGAGGAGAATGAGGGGCCCTATATGAGAAACTGCAAATAAGCAAGTTTGGTAGAAACAGAATGCCTGAGGTTCTCTTTCAGAGCTCTATCAGAAAAGATAAGAGTAGAACTACATTATATTGACACTTAACCAACTGTGTTTGACACTTACCAGGTGTGTGACCCTGGGCAGGTCACTTAACCCCAATTGCCAAAAAAAACCCCAAAAAACTACATTATAAAGTGCTGTGCACACTAAATAGGGATAACTATTTTATACTAAAAGCCTTGGGAAGCCACTTAAACTTATTGAGCAGGGGAAAGACATGGTCAGATCAATGCTTTAGTAATGTCATTTTGGCAGTTTGGATGGCAAATGGATTGGAGAAGAGAGAGATTATAGATCAGGAGGTTAATTATAAGCTGTTGTAATAGACCAGGTGATAGGTGATAAGAGCCTGAGCTAGGGTGGCAGCCAGGTGAGTGATATATATCATTATCTGTATGCAGTGTGTGTATTTAAGAGGCTAGGATTGAGAATGGGGTGGGGGGGACAGTGGGAGAAGGGCCTACGGTGATACTAAAGGAGATTAAGGAGTAGGGAGTATGTATGGGGGACAGTAAAAAAAAAAAAAAAAAGTGAGGGCTAAGGAGGGAGGAGACCTGGCAGTGTGTGAGGAGGAATACGTTAAAAGAGAAAAGCAACATGGGCAAATTATATATTAGTATGCCTACTCTTCTGGACAGGGGAAAACAAACTGAGGCTACTGAGGCTTGCTCAACTTGTCTTAACAGTGGGGTTTTTAAATACTGTTCCTATAGAAGGTAAAAAGATAGAAAAAAAGGAAGAAAGAAAATCCAGGAACAAAAAAGTAAAGAGGAGAGAGACCTGAACAAGTCTAAATATAGGAAAAAACCCTAGATTTATTTTTGCTTTTCATAGAGGCCTTTGAAGTGCTTGTTGTTGGTTGACCTGAGGCTGGAGCTTCAGCTCTCCAGTCTTAAGGCCTTGTTTGTTTGAAAAACAGACTCAAAAATGTTTCGTGTAAAATATTTGTTTCCAAGTCATTTTTACCTTGTATCTCTTAAGGTTCAGTGAGAGAGAAAAGAAATGGATTTATCGACAGTCAGTATTGAAGAAGTAAAGAATGTCCTGCTTGAGATGCAGAAAATCTTAGAGTGTCCTATCTGGTAAGTTGTAGGCCAGTCATTACTTCTGACCCCTTCCCAAGCCTACGCCAGCACAAAAGTGGGAAAATGGCTTGAAATCATTAGAAGAATTTACAGTGAGTGTTACTAGAGGTAAAAGTACACTCTATAGTGGTTGTCAAAAATTGTTCTTCAGTATTGCCTTAAGTATGCTGAAAATTGTGTGGCATTTACTCTTGAAAGCACTTGTGTGGGTCTCCCACAAATTGTATTTAACTTACCCTTGCAATTGCATTCATATGCCTCCAGGTTCTCCCCTAGTGATTCCTCATGGTAAAGAATAATATTGTGGTCATAAATTAAAGAAGGTTTAGAACCACTGACAGTTTTACTTTATTCAAGTAATCTTTTAAAAACAGATGCAAAACTATTATCACATTATCATGCTTCCCATCATAATTTTCCTTCTGAATAAATAAATAGGTAACAATAATAATAAATCATGATAGGTTACATACTTTAAAATCCATTCACATATAAATAAAGTTGATTTGTGTCTTTATAAAAAAAGGAAAGAAAAAAAACAATCCTTACAACAGTCTTGTACAAGAAAAATAGCTACTTGCTACTCAGATTAAAAAAACAAGAATAAAATATTTATGTCCTAAAATAATAGAGATTTTTCATCCTTCATTTATATTCATTCTGTATATGGTCTCACACAAGTAGTACATGCATCCCTATACCACTTGATTGAATCTTGAACCATCAGTTTTGTCATGAGATTGCCATACCTCTGGCTATTTTTTATTTTAGATAATATAGTCATTGCTTGGATCCCATAATCCCCACCATCACTAGGTTACTATAAACCCTAAAGCCTTGTTGGCCAGATGCTGTCATACCGTTTGATATTCTGCAGTTTTGCCAGCTCTGACTGATGAAAGGCAAAGATCTGTTCTCAAAAAGCACAGAGGGGTTCTTACAATTAAGAATTTACCAGGTCTAGTTGAAGAGTTTCTTTTAACTCCAGGACTGTCATATTCACCTGAACCTCAGTGGTCTCTGACATTCTTGTAGCCTTTGCTAATCTGTTTAGGATGGCATTATGACGTGAATGATAGTTCCAACTCAAATGATGGTTACAATGGCAGAGGACATGACAAGGGCCATTTCTCTCAAGGCCCCGTACCATTAGCAGGACTGATCTGTAGAGCCAGATCTTCTGGCCCCATTCAAAGAAACACAATCAAACCTGGCTTTGTGAATAAAATGCCAGTCTGCAAACCAGGTAAAGGATCTTTCTCTCATAACAAAGTTCATTTTGGGGCCTTGGAGGTGACAGGATACCCCTTCCCCTGATCGGGTTTCATACATTCTTGCTTTTCCTCCTCTGGGGATTTCTTTAAAGAATAGAGGTGCCTCCCTACCATCACCACCACCACTGCCACTCACCCAACATATTTTGTCTTGTTTGGAGTAGGCACATTTCTTTCTGGATTCAATTCACCAAACAATAAGCCCAGAAAGAGCTTACAATCTAGTAAGGTAGGAAATAAAACACGAATACAAATAGATGTGGTACCTAGTAAAAGGTAATAAGAACAAAGAAGAGGTTCATAGTATGTATTTCTAGAAATTATGCTACATAATCTTTTCACATCATCCTGGCAATTCTTGATTGTAAAACCCTCACTGTGCCTTTTGAGAACAGATCCCCAGCTTTCATATCAGCCAGAGCTTGCAAGGCTGGAACCTTTCTCACTCTGAGAAAGGAAGATATCTCTTTCATCTGGGAGAGATCAGGAAGGGCTTGACGGAGGAGCCTTGAATCTGAACTGGATCTTAAAGGGAAAGAAGTGTAAATAGGCGGATGTGGAGGGAATTTATTCAGTCATGGAAAGTGTCCGCGTCTCCTTTGTACTCAAAAGGATGCTTCAGAAATCTAGTAGAGTGAACTAATCTGAGCAAGGAAGCTCCTTCAGAAACAAAACCCTTTCTCCTTTCTTTCAAAGTGATACTGCCAAGTCTGATGAATTTATTATGATTTGTAAGACTTAACTTTCTGTATTTCTCTGCTAAGCTGTCTGCTGTGCTGGTGAAGTAATTTCTAATGTCCATTTGAATTTCTCAATCAAATATATGTGTACAAGTCAGATATCAAGGCAAGGGCCTGGAGTTTTGTTGTTCTTAATCCTTCCTTCTCGAAAAACAGTGTCATCATGAGGGCGACGTCTTGACTTGCCTGTGAATTGGATTTAAGTGAGGCGAAGTCATCAACCTCACTCGCTCCTCCAGAGTCATGAAGTACAGTGGCAAGACAAAAGTCCTGACTACTGGTGGTTGCCCAGGGTGCGGTGGGTGACCTTGGCCTTTCTAAATTAAAGGTCTTTCTCGGGTCTCTGTGTCTGAGGCAACTCCCATTCATTGACTAAGGTGTAGGTAAGAATTGAGACAAAAGATGACCTAATTTACCATCACAAAAATGTCATTCTGGGAAGGGAAGACCTTCAAAGTTTCTGACTTGAACAGAAAATAAATACTATTTACATTCATTCTAAGCCATCAGAACCTAAACTGTGAGTCACAGAGGCTTGGGCTGGGGCTATTATTGGCCATTTTATCAAAGCCAGAGTGATTTGAGTTTAAAGGGTAGTCAAGGAGCTCCATTTGAAACACAGTGGGCTTTTTTAAAGCCTGTTTTTTCAGAGCTGTATTTCAAGAAATCATAAATAAAAATTGCACAGGGCAAAAAGTAAATTATCCTAGCTTTTTAGAAAAAAGAATAAATGAATGAATAAATAAAAACAGATGGATTAAAAAATCTAGGGACAGCTAGGTGGCACAGTGGATAGAGCACCAGCCCTGGAGTCAGGAGGACCTGAGTTCAAATATAGTCTCAGACCAGACACTTGACACTTACTAACTGTGTGACCCTGGGCAAGTCACTTAACCCCAATTGCCTCGCCAAAAGCAAAAAAATCTAGCCCCCAAACTCCAAAACATCTTACAGAGTATAAGCAACCAAACACATTCATATGGAACATATGTAGTGAGGCAAGGAGGGGGAGGAAATAAAGGAAGAATTCCCCAACTTCTGTTCTGATTGGTAGGTTAGGTCCCCACAGGGCAACTACCACTATCAGGGTTCTAGAGATAACTCAGAGACTGTGCTTCTACTGTTAGTACTGAGTGCCAAATACAGTAGTCCCCACGACAGTCACCCAGTAGTTTTTACCAAAGGTATTTGTATACACGTCAGACATTAAGGCAAGGGCCTGGATTACAGTGAGTGTTGAATATCCCTTGTTGGTCCTACTACTCTGTATTTGACTTTACTTGCTCTTTAAGAATGGATAGAGTTAAAAATGGTCACAATACAGTCTTGACTGATCGTTATCTGTGAAAGGCCAAATGGCAGGACCTTTGACTACAAGTAACCCTACACATGAGAAAATCCTGTATTCCGTCTATTCCACATGTGAGTACATTTTGATTTAAAAATAAAACCAAAACTATAGGAATTTTTTTTGAAAGGGCCATTGGTTATTTTTTCTTCTGTAATTGCACTGTCAGTGATGGTTGACATTGAAGATACAGATTTATAGATAGTACTTGTTGTCCATTATGCTTGAAAAGGAAGGTGACTTGAAGCCAGCGAGCATTTTTCCTTCTACCCCGTGAAAATGCTGAGTTCATCAAATTTCATATCAGGAAATTAAAAATAGGGTGAATTTGTGTTCCAAGTTTAAGTCAAATACAGGCAAGATTTAGAAAGCAAAAATCCTCCCAACATTTTAGCTAAGCAACAAAACCACAAGGGCCCAGAGAAATTTACGACCTAATTTGTGAAGACTGGGAGCCAGGGAAGCAGGAAATGACAATATGGGAGGGGGTGGGGATTACTTTTGAGAAAGCACAGAACAGGGTAGAATTCTCGTGGTATTTACCTACAGTGATCAAAATGTCCTTAGTAGTATGACAGTTTGCTCCATTTATTTTGCATGATACTAAGTCATAAAAATGTAATGTGCCTTCTCTATTACTCTGACTAATTAAACCATCAATTAAAAACACTCATACATAAAAATTAAAGATATAGACATGGGAGTTAATGCTAGGTTTTCCTTTTCAGTTCACTATTACTGTATAACTGTTACTGCTTAAGCTCTTTTCTTAGAAGTGTATGTACATTTGCTCATGCTTGTGATTGCTAAATCTTTTACTTCTTTGACTGGAAGCTCCTTTAGAACAGGGACCATCCCTATATAACTTGCTTTATGTAGTATTTATAAGCACTATTTGTAATTAAGTGCTTTATAAATGTCTTTTGATGATTATTGGAAACTGTTGTTGTAGTAGAAGGAACAAGGACTAGGCAGGTCTATCTCAAATAAATTCTGGCCATCTCACTTCTTGTGGGACTGTCATCAAATCACTTCACCTCTCTTACCAACCTCAGTTTTCTCATTTATAAAACAAGGAGTGGGGACAAGGTTATGTTTAAGGTTCCTTCTAGCTCCAAATCTTTTAATACTATTGCTCTGAACTCCCTTTGCTTCAGAGAGGTAATATGAGAGAATGGAAAGGCCATTGAACTTGGGAGATATGATCCAGGTGACCTTAGACAAATCATTTTACCTACCAGAGCCTTAATTTCCTCCTCTGTAAAATGGGGGATAATAATGCTTGTACTGTGTCTAGCATAGGGCATGCAAGTGCTTATTTTTGCTAACATCTTTTTTTTTCTTTTTTTGGTGAGGCAATCGGGGTTAAGTGACTTGCCCAGGGTCACACAGGTAGTAAGTGTTAAGTGTCTGAGGCCGGATTTGAACTCAGATCCTCCTGACTCCAAGGCTGGAGCTCTATCCACTGTGCCACCTAGCTGCCCCCTTGCTAACATCTTAAAAAAAAAAAAGATGGGTTTGAAAATTTGACATTTTGGAGAATTCTTTTTGTTTCTTTCATTTATTATTATTAGTTCAAACCTGTGATTTAATCAGTGTAGGGAATTCCTTCTGCCAATACAAATCAGTACTGGGGCCATAACTTATTAAAGTTGTAGAGGATTGCCCAGTGCACCTGGAGGTTGTGTGGTTTGCCCGAAGTCACACAGGCAATATGTAGCACAGGTGGGCCTTAATCCTATATTCACATATGTAGATCAGAAAGGGAATGGACCTCAGGAATCATCTCATCTAACTTGGTCATTTACGATTGAGTAAACTGAGGCATAGTGAAGTTAAGGGACTTATTTAATACCACACAAATAGTTTAAGCATCAAAGGCAGGATTTGAACCCAGGTCCTTCGATTCTATAGGCAGGGCTTTTTCAACTAATCTAATGGATCCCAAGTCTAGAGTCGGCTGTCTCTCTACTATGTCCTGCTGCCTTTGCTTTCATACCTAAATTATGTTTGTTTGTTTGTTTGTTTTGTGAGACAGTTGAGGTTAAGTGACTTGCCCAGGGTCACACAGCTAGTGGCAAGTATCTGAGACCGAATCTGAACTCAGGTCCTCCTGACTCCAGTGCTGGAGCTCTATCCATTGCGCCACCTAGCTGCCCCCCCATATCTAGATTTTAAAAAAATTGTGAACACTAGGAGTTCTTGTTGAACTGAGTATTCTTTTCCTTTACTGAGCTGTTTTCATTTTCTTACCAATCACATATAAATATGCAATGGGCCTGTTTTGGAAAATATTTAAATGTGGACCTTTTCCTGTCTTTATGATAAACATTGACTCTATCAGTACCCAGGAGAACAAATTTTGCCCAATTTTTTTTTTCTCTGTTCCCCATCTAAATGTTCATCAGCATGTGTCCCAGCCTCCCATATGGGGGTACATACACATACACATACACACAATATCACATATTGGAGTTTTCATCTTAAAGTTTGTGTCTGCAGCATGTTTGGGTAGTTTGAGTTATAATTACCATATTGGAATGTAACTATTTCCAAATTGAGTCATTGGATGAGATTGAAAACCATCTGGTATCATAGCTAAATCCAAACTCTCTTTTACTAGTTACTAAGATATACAGTAGAAGTACAACCACAAATTGGAGTCTTCTATACTCCCCAGTTTGCTTTTTATTTAATTTAATCCAAATAGTGTTATTTTATGCAGTGCTTTACAATTTGCACTATCACTATATAACACTAAGGTCAGCAGAATATCGATTATTATCCCTTTTTAACAGAGATAATGTGGTTCAGTGTGTAGGACACTGGATTTGGAGTCAGTCCGAGGACCTGGGTTCAAATTCAGTTCTGCTGCTTATGGCCTCTATGGCCTTAGAAAAGTCATTTGTCCTCTCTGATGCTCAGTTTCCCAAATCTTCCTCATAGACAGCTAGCCAACAAGTGAACAGAGTCCTGGGCTTAGAGTCAGGAAGACCTGAATTCAGATCCTGCCTCAGATACTACTAGCTGTGTGATCCTGGGCAAGTCACCAACCCTCTCTCAGACTTAGTTTTCTCATCTGTAGAGTAAGAGGGTTGGACTTGATGGCTTCTATGATACTATGGTATGTCAAAAACCCCATGATCCAAAGGGCTATTACCAGTCCCTCCACAAAGAAGATCCTTTTATTTGAAAAGAACCCTCTTCCAATCCCAATACTAGAATATCTTTTATTTTGTTGTCCTGGTCTTTGCAAAGAGAAGAGTCAAAAGATTAAAGAGAAGCATTGGAAAAACTAGGGTGAAACATTGGATCGTTGTAAATAGGTAAATGGTTTGAGGATAGATGACTATAGCTCTCAGTGAATAGTAATCCACTTATTGAGCACCAGTTCTATGCTGATGATTATACACTGTAAGGAAATATAAAAATAACAGAAGACAACATTATTTATGGGTTAATTGGAGAGATGGGACACAAGTGTACACACACATGCATATATATGCAAAATGACTTCAGTTTACCAGTGAGTAGAAATTATTCTACAACAGTGCTAAGTTTTTAAGTGTTCAGAGAATGCAGAGAAAAGAAATGACCAAAGTCACTCTTGAACAATTAAATCTTTATCTCAGACTAATTGTAAAATACTAAAAGTTCTAGTTCTGTGTTAATTTGGTCTTTCCAAAGGATATGCCTGCTTTTTTGAAAAATTGTGTTTATTGACTCTACAATAAAAATAAACGTTCTTTTTTTCTTTTCTGTCCTTTTAGTCTGGAGTTGATCAAAGAGCCTGTTTCTACAACCTGTGACCACATATTTTGCAAGTAGGTATCAAGATTCCATACAATTTCATAGTAGGACTTGTCTGATTCTAGCATGTTCCCTTGGCCTTTTCAATTTAAGAAAAACCCAACATGAATCCATCATAGTTTGCTTTGCAGAAGCTTTTAATGAACTCATTTTGCCATACTTATAACCCCAATTCCTATTAAAGGTGCTAGCACATTTAACTCCTTGGCGGGGCACAAATTACTGTATGGTCCTATCTTTATACACATTTTTATTTGTATAAGAACAGAAAAAGACCTTGTGTGGCAGTCAGCATTTGTCCTTATTACTCTCAGATACTTTTTTTGGTTTACTTTCCCCCCACTGAAAGTAGCCCTCATGCCCACAACCTCCTTTCTAACCTTTTTCAAAACAAGGAAATATTATATCAGACATTTCTCCTGTGCTGAGATGGAAATGTTGATGGGTTATGTTAACTCCTTATTGAGATTGTCAAGCAGTTTATATGTCTTTTACAGGAATGGGGGGGTTTGTGTCTTTTGGAGGTAGGAGGGATAGGAGAGTTTCTCTCAGTTCTTGAAATCTGACTTCTAAAGCTGGCCCTGAAGGTAAATCACTTTAGTCTTTTCAGGTACCTCATCCAGAAGTGACAATGATGTTCCACTGCTACCCCTAGGATAATCAACCTGTGCTATAAGTACTAGAGGACTGTTCACAGATTGAGAATTGGAAGGGTCCTTAGAAGTCTTCCAGTATAACCCCCTCATTTCACAGATTAGTTAAGTGAGTCCAGATAGGCTAAGTGTCCAGGTCCCACAGGTGGTAAGGTTTAAACCCAGGACCTCTGACTCCAAATCCAATACTATTTCTACTGTGCCACTCTGCTTCTTGCTAGCTGCTTAGTTCTATGGGACATACCTTCCTTTGCCTTATCCTTGAGCCCTCCCTTGTTATCCTTCTTCTCCAAGGTTCATTCACTGATCTAGTGATTCAGAGCCCATTTATTAGGCCCTCTCGCCTCACTTCTATAACCCCTGGCCTAGGTTTTCCATCTTCACTGCCTCTAAAAAAAAAATTATCATGACTTCTGGAATAGCCCACAGCAGTATCACCAGAGTTTCTGTTGACTTCCTCTCTCTAGGACCCAGGATAAACCACTTGAGGACTACTCATTTGTTTGGAAGGAAAACATCACAGCAGCCTAGTTGTTAGAGGGTTTGACCCAGGATCTTTTTCCTTGGATGTGAATATCTGAAGATAGTAATGATTTTTTTTTTCTTTCTGGTGAGGCAATCTGGGTTAAGTGACTTGCCCAGGGTTACACAGCTAGTAAATGTCAAGTCTGTGAGGCTGGGTTTGAACTCGGGGTCCTCCTGACTGCAGGGCTGGTGCTCTATCCACTGTGCCACCTAGTAATGATTAAAGAGGCTATGTACATATCCGGTAAAACAACTGACACTGAGTCTCTGTGTTGGAAAATTTTAAAGAAGTGAAAAGGAAAAAAATCTTGAAAGATAGTAAAATATGCTTGTGCCTCTCTGGTGAAATGATTAGTCACTCCTAAAACATGGCTTATGTTGTTATTATCTTCTTCCAGAGATTAAAAAAACCAGTACAGTTGAGTACTGAAAGTTTAATGATGCTTACTTTCCAGATAGGCATTCACACATTCATACATACGTACATATATATGCATGTATACACACATATATATATATACATACATGCACATATATACATATAGATATAGATTGTATGGGACATGGAGCTGAATGGATAATGAACTTAGCCATGGCCCAAGAATTTGCCTTCTTGAAAAGTCTCTGATGTCTACTTTTTAAAAAATTTTATTTGCCTTTCTTATCAAGGTGGAGCAAAGGAAATACAACTGTGTGACCTCCTGGGCTGCCTTTCTTCAAAATTACTTAGGGACTCAAAGGCCTAAGTACTTTTCTCCCAACTGACTTTCTTACCCTTTAGAATATTATCAGCAGTATTCACAAGATTTTTTTCTTTAATCTCTGCATTACTGATATAGTGGAGCACAGGCATCTCCTTTTCAGATTGCACCCACTCTTCTCCTATGTCCGAATTAAGTTTGTTGATGGGACATGAATCAGAGCACACCTCACAGTTTCAAGAATTTGTTGCCAGGGTGTTTTGGACCTAGATACTATACTGCCAGGGTTCTTAACCCAGAACCCTTTCTCAGAGTCATGTTTTTAAGTGTACAAAATAAAATATATGGCATTACAAAGGAGACCAGTTATTGAAATACAGTTATCAAAAAAAATTTTTTTAAAGTTCAAGGACTGGGGCATCTAGGTGGTACAGTGGGTAGAGTTCCAGCCTTGCAGTCAGGAGGACCTGAATTCAAATCCAGCCTCAGACACTTGACTCTTTGATAGCTGTGTGACCCTGGGCAAGTCATTTAACCCTAATTATCTCACCAAAAAGCTAAAAGAAAGTTCAAGAACCTTGGGTTAAGAACTCCTGCTCTACAGGCTACAAAATATCATTATAAAAATATACTTTTCTGGATATAACACTAGGCCACTTTCCTGCAAATTTTCCTTAATGTTTGATTTTTTAACAGAATTCTAGGCAAAAAAGCAATATTAAGAAATATATCTTTAATGTTATAATGAAATTGAAAGTCTTGCAGAATGCTTGTATGATCAACTTTCTTATGAAATTTCTTCTGTGATAACATTTCGTATTCTGAATTATACCCTGGTCTGTAAGTTGAATAATGAGGTAATACTGGGAGACAGAAAGATAATAAGAATATTCCCAAACTCTAACCTTACTTCTTGAATTGTGTTCTACAATTGTCTATTAATGGAACCATTTTTCTAGCCACAAGCAAGCTTACAGTTCTAAAATAATCTTTCCCTGAAGGTGTTAAAAAAAATAAGTCAGAAAAATGTATTTCACCATGTATTTATTAACTTACGTTCTAAGTGTCAGGCAGTGTGTGCCACCCTAGGAAACACTAGGATAATGAAATTTTTCAGTCACCAAAAGTTGTATTTTACAGGAGCTTATACTTAATTCACTGACACCTGCCAGGATGGAGCAATTTTCTCCACATTTAAAAATTCTTCAGGAAATAGATATGCTCAGAAACATGTTCTCTGGAAAAAGCCGCAAAATTTTTCTATGATGTTATGATTTGCCTGCAAATTTTTTTTTACCAGCTATTATATCTTGTCTTCAGATACTTCTCAGTTTGAAATGCCAAATAAATTTCAATTTAGTAACCACTTATTAAATTCCTGACATATGCAATGCACTGTGCTATATGGTAGAGAAATGAAGGTAGATACAATACAGACCCTGCTGTCAGGGAGCTTACCCTCTCATGAGGGGAGAGATGTACACAGGTAGCAGTGATAAATGGGAGAGTGAGGTAAGTGCAAAGAAGAGGCTTGAGGGATGATGTTGGGGGCCAGGGCACAGTGCTTAGCATAAACTATGTGGGGAAAGGTCTTGAGTTGAGCCTTGAAGACAGGGAAGGAGTTCAAGAAATGGAAATTGGGGGAGTAGGCCATTCCAGGAATTAGGAACCACTTGGAGGCGAGATGGCAAAACAAGAAGGAAGTATGGAGAGCAGCCCCATTTGGCCAAAACATAGAATCTGGTGGGAAGGGGAATTAGATGAAATGAGTCTGGAAAGGTGGTCTGGAGCCAGATCATGAATAACCTTGAATCTTAGGGTAAGGAATTGATAGTTTCTTGAGTACACAACAGGGAGTGGATGCAATCTTTGAAAAGAAGGATGATGTGATCAGAAATGAGGAAGCTGTATTGTCACCCTTCAGTCATGGGAAGGGTAGAAGCAGTCACCCCATTCATGACTCACTCGTTGCACTGCCATCTAAAAGTCTTTTGCCTTTTCAGTAAGCATTGAGCCAGAGAGACCCATTCCCAGGGGATACAATCTAGATGCTCTGATTTACATGACCGTGTTCCCATTGCTATAGAGTCTAGTCTCGGTGTTTTCAAGAATACGAATGACTTGCCCTTTCTGAGTATGTGGTTTAGGTGAAATCAGTGTTTTAGTAACATCAGGATTTTCCTGTGCTCACTCTTTAAATCACGGAATCTAAATTCTTTTCAGGTTAGTATAATACTGTTGGGGGGTTGGAGAGAAGGATATGCTGGACAAAGTGTCCTCTGACTGTAATGAAAGCTTTATAATTCTGCTCGTAGCCTTTCACTAAAGGGAGATTAGGATCTACATCGTCATTTATCTCCTATCAAGCACCCAGCTCTGCCTGTCAGCTTGTGTGCCCGTAGCTCGTCATTCTCATAGTACCTAGTGATGAATATGATAAGTTTCCTCCCCCCAGTTGCCGGACTGTACTGGTCAATGTGTTCTCATGGTGGCACACTGATACCTTCACAGGCTATTTCAAGTTTAACTCTGGTGACTCGTCTCCTTCAAACTAACATGTTAGCATAGCCATTAGGAGCTAATCTGCTGTTTATTGTGAGGCTCCGTCACCGCCAGGAACCACTGCTTCTTCTTCTGGCCTTTCATGTTCTCTTACTACTTCTTCTCTCTGCCTTTTTCTTTTTCTCTTGCCTGTTCCTGGGGAAAAGGCAAGCCTTTTATAGACTTCACCAGCCAATAAGAGCACAGCTATCCTCACATTCAGCAAAGTAACCAATCACAACTCCTGGAGTGAAATCTCTGGGTCTTCAGCTCTTCTCAGCTGTATTCATTTATTTCTGGGTGCTTAGGGGCTGCTGCCTTATCCCCAGAATGATGGCATGTTCGCCATCTATATCCAGACTAGAGTCATTCCGTGACTTACTGCATTAACCTAAAGATTCTGGAAGTCTGGATTCCAGATAGTTTACGTTTTATTTTAATACACATATAGTTAATTATGTGAAGTGCATTCTAATTCTGACAAATTGCCGTGCCGCACAGTGATAGTTATGTATGTCATTAAACAGGAATCAAACTAAATTGCCTGTAAACCTTATTTGCTTTCAGCAGTACATTTTGTACAGTTATATCCTCAATCTTTATAGGTCATTGCTCACACAGCACTGGCATTCAGTTGTGCAATAGCACTGTCTGCTGACCCATTGGACCAAGTCCAAAGGAGGATATTAAAGAGACTGGAAATAGTGACATTCAAGGATCCACTCAAGGAATTGGGAAGTTTAGTCTGAGGAAGAGAAGACTGAGAGGAGACACAAAATGTTTTCATTATGTATTTTAAGACCTTTTGTTTGGAAGAAGAATTGATTAGCCTGTTTCCTGACTTTTAACTCTGTGCTAAAGTGGGACTCTGCTTCCAGAGTGAGAGGGCACTGTCCCAAGCTTTAGGCTTTTTGTGCTGCTGTTTTCAGAGATATTTCTAGGACCTGTCAGTTTTCAGTTCTTCAAGGTGGTATGATCTAAGGAGAGGTGCATTTACTACTCTCCAGGCCTATGCTTTAATCTGTGAGTGACCACAAGCACTCTTTTCTACCCTGGTACTGTGACAAGGTCCCTGTTCTACTGTGGCTACAAGCTCTGCTGTGCCCTGGAACTGCCACCCAGGACTGAGACCCATATCTGAGCAGGGGCAAAGCAACAGAGTCCTGCCCCCAGTGCTAGCAAAGAGACTCCTGTAATCTCCTTCAGCCCCGTTACTGTCTGTGGGCTGAGAGCTCTGGAAGCAGCTGCTGCCACTGATGATTCGATGGCTCCCAAGGCCTGCTCCTGATTTGCTGGGGCCTGGTCTATGCTGGCGTGGCCTGCACTGGACTGTGCTCCACTCTCACCCAGGTGCAACAGACCTCTCCTGCCGACCTTCAAAGTTGTCTTGTGCTGGAACGTTGTTTCACTCCACCCTTTTGTGAGTTCTGCCTCTCTAGAATTTGTTTTGAGGCATTATTTAAAGGTATTTAGAAGGGCTTGGGGGAGAGCTCAGATGAGTCCCTGCCTTTTCTCTGCCATCTTGACTTCACCTCCTCCCCCTCCCTCAAGCAAAGGCTGGAGAACTCCTTGCTGAGATGTCCTAGAGGAGATTTCAGTACAGCTATGAGTCGGAATAGATGACTTATGAAACCCTTTCTAACTCTCAGTGAGATCAGCTAATTAAACCAACTCCAAGGACCATTAATTGTGATCTTTAACATAGATGTAGGATTATCTTGTCATGGATGCCCCTCTCCCCATAGGGTGCCCCAACCACAAAAAGTAACTTGCTTTGTTTCTCCTCTTTCTTTTTATAGATTTTGTATGTTGAAGCTTCTCAGTAAGAAGAAAGGGCCCTCTCAGTGTCCACTGTGCAAGGACAACATAACCAAAAGGTATATAATTGAAGTGATGGTGGGAGGTAGGAAAACCCAACAGCACAATTGATTGTCTTGCCAATCCTAACCATCAGTAGAAAAAAATTTAGGAAAGTATGTTTTAACGGGTGGAATGAGTTATTTCTAAAAGTGTTTGGAAAGTTTTATGAGTTCTATGTTATGTTAACATCAGCCAGTTTACCTGTAGAATCACAGAATTATAGAATGTTTGAAACATTGGAAGGAATCCTGGGAAACAGCTCCAACCCCCTCCCTCTGTTGACTTACTCTGTGAATGTAACAGCCAGTTGGTGGCCACCTGCATTTCCTAACTTGCCTTTGTTTCCCCCACCCAAGTGCAGAAACTTTGAACCCATGCTTTGAATCACTCTTTGTTTTCAGGTCTCTCTTAAGCAGTGCTTTTCTCTGAGGGCTTCATCTGGTAGTCCAAATTACGTCATTTATTTGAGAGAAATAGTGGCACTGGGCTGTGGATGGAGACAGCAACAAAGTCCCTGATGACCTTGATTTATGCCAGCGTTGTTTGCCCATCGCAGATTCGGGGCACCCCCAGTTCAGGCAGTTTTAGTGGTTTGGGCTGTATTAAGTTCTTTAGAGACTAGGTTGTAAAAGTAACGTGTGCTTCCCCTTAGTTTATTCTGATGTGAATAATCTTTTAATTTTGGTGTAATGCCTGCAGTATCTGGGAGAATTAATCCTCTGTCCCTAGAAAACAATTTCTACAGTTACTGAGCCTGTGTTTTTCCGCTTGTATCATAGCTCTGTTCCTTGCCTTCATTTATTTTCTTTGAACATCTCTGAAACGGTGGATGGTGACTTCATTTTAAAAGTATCTATCGAATGCTTTTGTTTCAGAAGCCTACGAGAAAGTACAAGATTTAATCAGCTTGTGGATGGGCTGCTGAAAACCATTCGTGCTTTTGAGCTCGACACAGGATTCCAGTGTAAGTATTGGATGTCTCCAGAGGCAAGTGCTCTTATAGCTGAAAACATGTGCCATTATTGTCTGTGGTTGTATGATAAGTTCATTTTAATTTCCTTATAATTTCTGTATCAGCACTCCTAACTTTGTTATTGAAAGATATACTGGTCTTGAGTGATGGAAAGAAAGGACCAAAATAACAGCTAAACAGTAATGATAATAATAATAATGCCATTGCTCTGAAGTGGGCTAGAGAAGAGATTCAGAAGAGGAGGCTCAGCCCAGCCTCAGGATCCCAATAGCCTGGTCCTGGAGAGACAATAGAGATAGCATTCACCCTGCCCAAGCAGAAAAGGAATTGGATTTAGGGGCAGAGGGCCTAGGTTTGTATCCCAGCTGTACAACTTACTTCCTATGTAACCTTGGTGATTTAACTTCCCTGTGCCTCAGTTTACTCATCTGTAAAATGAAGAGGTTAGCTTAACTCAGAGTCTTAAATCTAAATAACAGTTCACATTTCTCTGATACCTTAAGGCTTACAAAGATTTTTTTTTACGACATCTGTGAGGCAGGTGACAAAAGTAATATTATTCCCATTTTATAGGTGAGGAAACAGTCTTAGAAGGAAGTTAAGTAACCTGCTCAGAGTTATTCAGTGGATGTCGGGACCATTCTTTCCTGCCTCTCAGTCCAGCACTGTTTGAATTACACTCTGCTGGTCAGTTGTTTTTCAGGTTTTCTCATAGGAATGGACATGTATAACTGGGTTTTTTAATTGTAGATAACTTCATCTAATCACCTTACCAATGTTTTCCTTCATGGTTTTCTATGTTGTAATTTAACAGTTTCAAATAGTCAGGATTTTTCAAAATGGGAGAAGAGGACTCCTGAGCCTCTAAAGAAGGAAGCTGCTATCATTCAAAGTATGGGCTACAGAAACCGCACAAAAAGATTCCGAGCCAGTGAACCAGAAAACCCAACATCGGTAAAGCCCTTTCTGTTCTTTTATTTGTCTTCTGCTTACATGACTTTGTGCTAGGCACTGGGGGGAATATAAAAAGGGCTGGTATATTTAGTTAGAAAGGCAAGACATACACATATGTCAGAACTAAGTAGTAATGCAAGAGTTTTCAGATGAAGAAATTAAAGCTGTCTATAGTCATATGAAAAAATGCTCTAAATCACTATTGATTAGAGAGATGCAAATCAAAAACAATCTGAGGTACCACATCACACCTATCAGATTGGCTAATATGACAGAAAAGAAAAATGATAAATGTTGGAGAAGATGTGGGAAAATTGGGACACTAATGCATTGTTGGTGGAGTTGTGAACTGATCCAGCCATTCTGGAGAGCAATTTGGAACTATGCCCAAAGGGCTATAAAACTATGCATACTCTTTGACCCAACAATACCACTACTAGGTCTGTAAGAGTTTAAAAGGAAAAGGACCTATATGTACAAAAATATTTATAGCAGCTCTTTCTGTGGTGACCAAGAATTTGAAATTGAGGGAATGCCCGTCAATTGGGGAATGTCTGAACAAGTTATGGTATATGAATGTAATGAAATACTATTGTGCTATAAGAAATGATGAGCAGGAAGACTTCAAAAAAACCTGGAAAAACTTGTGTGGACTGATGCTGAGTGAATTGAGCAGAACCTGGAGAACATTGTACAT